TAAACAAAAGTTGTAGTATACGTTAAACCGAGAACATACAAAAAAAAGAACGCCCAAATCTGACTTCGTATGAGGAAGTTATGAATTTTCTAAGATTTGGCTTAGCAGTGCACGACCCGAAACTCAAATTTTAGTTCGAGCAGTTTTTGGCTTACGCGACCTAAATGAGAGTTGAAGATCTCATTAATAGGAACTCAACGGTAAAAAGACAGACGAAAACGGAGTCCGTATGAAGGAGTTACGAATTCTTCGCGGTCATTTAACAGTCTAATCTCCTTGTACTGTTAAATTTAAGATTGGTCGAGAATTAGCCGACGGAGTCTAAATGAAAGTTGTAGATCTTGTTTTTACCTACGCGTGGAAAAAAAGAACGTCGAAAACAGAGCTCGTATGCGAAAGTTATGAATTTTTGAAAATCGGTTGATTTCCACCCTATGTGCGATGCCACGTGTCAGCACCAGGCGAAGCCTTGGAGCCTACGCATGTACCACGACGTGGTGACGTCCCAGGCAGCCTATAAATAGAGGTGTCGGGTGAAGCTCATTCCTCACACCTTTAATCCCTTCTTTCTCTCTCTAGAACCTCTCTCTAACCCCCCAAACCCCCCAAAAAGCCTAGAGAACCTCCCTAGCACGAGGCGGAAGCCCGGAGCTCCCGAAGGCTCCAAAAAAGAAGAGCCTTCGGCTCAGAAAATATGCTTCGGCGGAGCCCGGTTTTGAGAAAAACCCGCTGTAAGTGAGCTACGCCTACCCTATCTTTAGTATAACTTATGTTTCAATATAGTAATATTATTAGGACCTTAAAATAATTATTTGGGCTATTATTATGAGTTATATAGAGTGTTGTTTAACGCTTATATAATAGTAATAATATCTAGACTATTAATTAGTCGCGGTTAACGTTAGACTAAACCCTAGTGGTATTGATACTAGGTTTTGTCAAGGGAAAAATTGTTTTGAGATAATGAAGCGTTGTTCGAGTACCGACTCACCACCTTATCAAGTGAGTGCATAGTTACTTTCATCTTACACATAGATATGAAGTATTTTAATATAAATTACGTGCTATGTGTGCATATTGTCTGAATACTTGCTGTCTATGCTGAATGAAAGATTTTATACATGTTTTAAATAATTTAAACTGTATATGTATTTTATATCTACATAATATGTTGGGTAAAACATGAGTAGATGAAATATTAGTTGGATGATGAGTTGAGAGGTGGTATAGACCATGAGGTAAGGGTGAGAGGTGGACGATGTGAGAAGCCTTGTTCCCAAATGTTAGCCCCGTCATCTAGCAGAGTATGGATGACAACCACGGACTATTCTAGACAGTCCAGTGGAAAACTAGCAGGCTCGCAACCTGTAGGTGTTGTGAACGATGTGTTCACCGGTGTACTCTAAAAACCCATTGACTTGTATTGCGATTGGACTCTCGAAAACGATACTGTCAATAAACGAGATAACCCTGACAGATGCGCCTAAAGGACTCTACCGGCAGAAGCGCCTAATAGAGAACCTCATAACCCCGGCAGATGCGCCTAAAGAACTATACCGGCAGATGCACCCCATAAAGAATGTCACAATTCTGGCAGATGCGCCTAACTGATAATATTAGCAGTTGTGCTTGACAGATGTGTCATTAGCAACGATGGATTTCATGCCTATTCCTTAGGATAATCCTTAGGAATGAATGAACCAGGAATAGCTAATTCTTAGGGTAGATCCTTAAGAGTAAAGAACATAATGGGGATGGTAAATTGGGTTGATTGTTTGATGTTTAAACATAATAACTATATTATTGTGGGTTGAAAACCCTATGTACTCACCAGGTTTCCCAACCTAACCCACTCAAGCTTATTTGTATCACAGGTGTCGATATGAAGCTACTTTACACTGAGAGATTAAAAGAGATGTAGATCACTAGTGTAAATGAAAGTAAGTTCTGTTTATGCTTATGTTCCTATATTGACGATGACATCCCAAGGTTTTAAAATGAATAAAAATACATTTCTTCGGAAATGCTTTGATAACACATTTATCATGTTTTTCTGGGAACAAATTCCGCAACATTTTTATTAAAAGAAGTACTCTGATTTTTATAAAGCATAAACAAAATCGGTCTTTTCTGGCCGTGAAAATGGGGATGTCACAATTATGAGTGTCACTCTAGAGGTAAGGGGTTACCTAGCTCCCACTACAGATAATGTCTTTTGACCGCAACATACAAGGATAATGTCTACGATCATTATGAGTGTTACTCTAATGCTCTAGAGGTAAGGATTACCTAGCTCCCACTACAGATAATGTCTTTTGACCGTAGCATACATGGATAATGTCTACGAGCATTATGAATGTCACTCTAGAGGTAAGGGGTTACCTAGCTCCCACTACAGATAATGTCTTTTGACCGTAGCATACAGGGAGAACCCTACTCGATGGATAATACAATGGATCAAAAGACGAGAAAGGGTGCCAACAATGTGCCAATTATCATACCAAGCAGAGACATGCTATGCATCATTGATTTGAGAAACCATGAAATATATGTTCTTATCTCGCATGCCAAGGATATTACATCATCCCCGACCTATACCCAGTGGCGGAGCTTCAATCTTTCATTTGGAGGGGCCAAAAATATAATTTGTATAAAAATTAGTGAACAGGGGGGCATAGTCAAAATTTTATATTTTTGGACATAATATGTATAAAACTAACGTATAGGGACTATTTTTGCCAAAAAAAATAGGGGTGGGGGGGGGCACAACCCCCCTAGCCCCATATAAGATCCGCCCCTGCCTATACCACTCTCAATTAGGACATTCAAGAAGTTGGGATTGATGAGACGATAAGAGTGGTTATATCCGCCCCTGCCTATACCACTCTCAATTAGGACATTCAAGAAGTTGGGATTGATGAGACGATAAGAGTGGATCTGTTTGACCTAAAAGGATTATTGATCATTACCAAAGGGATTATTGGTAATGATCATCCATGTATGTGTGGCCATAAGAGCGATTTTTCGGTGGTGTTATTATATGTCAGAAAAACACACAGTCTTTCTATACTTTATAAAATATCTCATCAAATGTTGTATGACGAGATAAGATCAAAATATTGACTCTATATTAAGTAATTCTTATTTAAATTTCATGTATTCTATTATATTCTTTTAATTTCATGTATCGTGGTATATTGTTTTAATTTCATGTATTGCACGTTTTAATTTTATAAATATCACATATGTTTATTACCAAATTAGATGAAAGGGCTTTGTAAAATATGCTTTAATGTTTTAAAATGACCACCGATAGCATAATGTTTGCTCTTTAGGGAACTTATCTTTTTTATTTATTCAATATGTCATTATTTTTTTTTAAGTTTTTTTTGGTTGTCATTACACCATTGGAGTTAGGGGTGTAATCGAGATGAACCCATTCGAGTCCTACCAATCTGAAAACTTGACTCAATTAAAAAACTCGAGCTTAAAACTCGCCTCGAGCCTTAATTTCAAGCTTGGGCTTGAGCTCGATAATGTAATCGACACTTCCAAGCTCGACTTGACTCGGCTAGGTTAGTTATTAAGAAAATAGAATCACATTAAATTACAATAAAAATACGATCAAGCTCACGAATTTGACTCAAACCCAACTTAATTATGTAAATTTGAATAAAATAAAAGGTAAAAGTGTATATGTGACTAAGCTAGATTAAACTTGTGAGTTTCACCGGTCCAGTATTCTAATACATGGCCCCGACTCGAATATACTTGAGCTCAACTCTTCTCAAACCGAGTTGATTTCGAGTATCTCATGAGTTGGATTGACTCGATTATACCCCTAATTGCAGTAGATTTCAACCGGGCAAACTAGGATTGAATCGTATGTATGGTCTACTATGCAATTAATATGACAAAACTTGTTCATTAGGTCTGCCTAATGTTGACATGGTGTGCACTATGGCATCCCATATGACATGATAACCCGATTGAAATGCGTCGGTGTAATATAAACTTGGAAAAACATTTAATGATTAATTGAATACAATTAAAAGACAAGGGACCATAAAAGCAAATTGTATGTTATTGGTTGTCATTTTATATCATCAATCCATAAAAATTTTCATAAAGATGAGATAAATTAGTTAATTTTATATAAAAAAAAACTTTTAGAATAGTGATCAATTGGAGATGATTTAAATTAATAACGTTTTGTTTGATAAAGTTAGTGAAAATATAACAAAGAAAAAAAAAAACTATAGAATCCACCTTCGGTCTCAATCTTGATTGACGGAATGATGTGTTAAATTAAATTAATTTGAACTCAATTACATAGTTCAATGAGCCGGTTCGAGTTCAATTTGATAATTTAATGAGCTAATTTGAGTTCGATTCGAGAGCTTAGCAGCTCGAAAGCATCTCTCATAACTATTCTAATAAAACAAGTCGGATTTCATAGTTTGAATAGTTTAAAAATCTATATTCGATGAAATAAGCCTCCTTCTAACTCGATTCAAATATAGATCAGAACTTGACACCAACATTTGTGTTGAATTCAAAGAGCTTATATTTGTATGTATATAAATATATAATAATGAGATAAAATTGGACTTGTATTAAATAAAAGCTTGGAATAAAGTTAAAATCTAAGGTGTTGCCTATTGCCTTTTCTCCCAAGAAGGAAATATTGGGTGACAGCAACCAAACCAAACACTCCCGCAAATGGTCAACCAGCAGTTCACCTAGTAAAACCACACACACATACACCCTCACTGTGTGTCTCCCTTTTCCTATATAATAATTGACCAAATTTCCACCCTACCCTCACCAAATTTAATTAATTTCAAGGGCAAAATAGTCAACCATATTTTGCATGGAAAGACACACAACAATACAACATAGTAGGTTAGTTGTGTTAGCTCATCTCCTCTTTCTTTTCTCTTTGCATCTCTCCCAAATAACCCGTCTTTCCACCATTCCCTCTTTCAAACATTCACAAAATGGAGCTGCCGGTAAAGTCACCGGTGGTGGCTGGAAATGGCCGGAAAGCTTCATACAAAATAGAAACCAAGAATCTTGCATACAAAAGTTCCAATCTTTATGACGAATCCAAGTGGGGTTCTCTTCAAAACTACTTCAAGAAACCTCCAAAGTTTATCTTGAATGATGTGACATGTGAAGCTCATCCAGGCGTCCTCACCGCCATCGCCGGACCCAGTGGGGCCGGAAAGACAACTCTGTTAGATATTCTCGCCGGAAATATCTCCTCCGGCCAAGTTTCCGGTCACGTTTTGATCAATAACCTTCCTATTGATACAAAACGGTTCCGAAGACTGGCTGGATACGTCACTCAAGATGATGCTTTATTCCCATCTTTAACAGTTGAAGAAACGCTCATGTATAGTGCTTTTTTAAGGCTAAGGTGTGGTAGAAAAGAAGCGGTTGATCGAGTCAAGATTTTGATAAACGAACTCGGTTTGGACCGAGTATCGAGTTCAAGAATCGGTGAGGGATCGAACCATGGGATCTCGGGTGGTGAAAGGAGGCGTGTTTCAATCGGGGTTGAGTTAGTTCATGATCCTTCGGTTATTCTTATCGATGAACCAACTTCAGGGCTTGATTCTAATTCAGCTTTTGGTGTTGTTTCTCTTCTTAAATCAATGGCGATTAGTAGAGATAAAACAATCGTGTTAACAATCCACCAACCCGGATTCAGAATCTTGGAGCTTCTTGATCGACTCATTTTGCTCTCGAATGGATTCGTTCTTCATAACGGATCGTTAAAGTCGCTAGAACATAGACTCAAAGTCTCCGGTCATTTCATCCCGCCTCGTGTCAATGTTCTTGAATTCGCCATTGATGTCGCCACCACCTTGATCATCGACACACCAAAAACACCGATAGAACGAGTCAAGAACCATGAAAAACCTGAAAAAGATGGCGAATTTCCATACCCAAATTCTCATTTGGAAGAAATAACGATTCTTAGTGAAAGGTTCTTCAAGAACATATTCAGAACGAAACAGTTATTCCTCACAAGAATCATTCAAGCTGTTCTTTCTGGCTTGATCCTCGGAACCATCTTCGTAAAATATGTCAACGAATAAAGGGAAACTCGCGTTACAAGCTCGATTAGGGTTCTTCGCATTCAGTCTTACATTCCTCCTTTCTTCATCGACAGAAGGATTACCGATTTTCTTACAAGAACGACGAATCTTGATGAGGGAAACATCAAGAGGAGCATATAGAGTTTCATCGTATGTAATCTCAAACACTCTCATCTTCCTTCCGTTTCTTCTAATGATCGGTATTCTTTACACAATCCCAGTCTATTGGCTAGTCGGATTACGCACTGAAATCAACAGTTTCTTCTACTTTGCATTGATCGTATGGATGGTAATCTTGATGTCGAATTCGTTCACAGCTTGTTTCAGTGCACTAGTGCCGAATTTCATCATGGGTACGTCTGTGATTTCTGGATTGATGGGATGTTTCTTTCTGTTTTCTGGGTACTTCATAGCGAAAGATAGCATCCCAAAATACTGGATTTTTATGCATTATATGAGTTTATTCAAGTACCCATTTGAATGTTTTATGATAAACGAGTATGGAGGTGAAGAAGGGATGAGTATGTGTGTGGAAATGGATGGGGGGAAGTGTAGAATGTATGGAAATGGGTTCTTGGAGCAGCAGCACATAAAGGAGACGCAAAAATGGAGTAATTTGGGAGTGATGTTAGGGTTTATAATTGGATATAGATTGATGTGTTTTGTAATTTTGTGGTTTAGATGTCACAAAACAAGGAATTAATTTATTTTTCTTTTGTATAATTAACATAAATGGAAGTATAAAGAGGAATTATTTATTTTTACTATCGTATTAACGTTTTTTCAGATTTGTGCATTCATTTTCTTTCTCTTTCATATAAGCTTATGCATAAGTCTACTAATGTGATTGAATATTCAAAGATTGGATAATATCATAATGTTACAATATTCTGGGAAAATATGAAGTTTTATTACTCTTTTTGGTAATATAAAAATGACCACTTTTGTGTGATATACCACAAAAGAATTGGGTTGGTTGTTTTACAGGTTTTTCTTTCATACTATATGAATATTCGTACTTTACGCATGGTAAAATTATATGGTTACAACTTGACTAATACTTATTGAAAGTAATTATATTATTAAAACTAAACATGAAATAATAATTTTTTACATTTTTTTTATGTAAATTTGTTATGATTTTTAAACTATGTTATAACATTTATTAAAATTATATCATTTAATCGTCGTTACTTCCAGCTGACATGTGAATAAAACTAAATATAATTCTCGATTTAATGTTGTTTTTAACGTTATAATTAACTAATTTAGAAATTACTTATTTGATATTTTTTTGTAAGGTAACGTAATATAATTATTAGGTTGTGTTATTTTTAAATATTATTATTTTTAATGGTTATGTTTTAAAAACCATTTATTTGATTTATATTTTAGATTTAACATGATATTACAATTAACATTTTAAATATTTATAATGATAATTCAAAAAATCTACCCCTAATATGTTAATATTTCACATTATCACATGTAGATTTGTAGTTAGTGTAGACGTGAAGAATAATATTGGAATCTGAATAAGCAATCTAGAATGGTTTGACTTTGGTAAAATAATAGGTACGTTTATTGTACTTTTTTTAAATCTTATGTTGTATAATTAAATAAGTATCTCTCTGTCCTCATAGATAAATAAGTTTATTATCGTTTATTATCTTATTCACAAGTGTCACAATATTAGAAATTCTTATTAATATTATATATCACGTATCATGTCATATGTCAACCTATTAATTCTCCATTTCAAATTTTAAATTAGAATAAAAAATAAAATAAAATTTATATATATATATATATATATATATATATATATATATATATATATATATATATATAAGATGATATATTTTCATATATTTATTTAAATTAACAATTATAATTTTATATAACTAAAAAAATATCTCTCGATTAATAATTTATTTAAAATAATTTATTTGAAGTAATTGATTAATAATTTTAATTTTTTTATTATGAAAGTTTAATTAATTTTATAATCATGGTTGTCACAGGTTATAAACTAGTTGTTTTTATATAAATAAAAGTGGATTTTGATACAATCAAATATGTAAATTCGGTCCCAAATCTGATGCAATATACCAAAACAAGTACTTATGCCATCCTCCCTAATAAATAAGAATCCTATTACCACTTGTCAAGTTCTTATGCAATTGGACATATGACATTTTCTTGATTTTTTGATTTACCTATTATTCCACTTGTCAATTTATTAAGATGCCACCTAATCAATACATAATGCAGATTCATAGTCTTGAAACACACGTATACATAATGTTAATTGTTTCCTAAATTTTAGTCCATAAACAAAGCAAAGATACGTTTCATTCTATAACACCAACCGATTAGCCTCCAATCACGGTGGATTTCATGAATGCATTTCAAAATCACATCTCTTCCATTTATTCAAATATTCTCTATGTATGTTATATGGACTTATATGGAATGTTATATGGATATATATTTAGTATCGCATCAATCATTCAAAATCGCTCATCTTTTACTGATAACTGGTAATAATTTCCTAAATTTTCTTTCAATTTCATCTATATATAATACATTTCATCTATCGTTTTCTTTCAATTTCATTCATATATGACCGAGTCGTCTTCACGCTGGAAATCAAGTCTCTTCAAGAATCTGCATTAGCATTCCAACAGCCACAAAAGGTCAGCAATGTGATTGTTTTGTTATGTATAGATTGTCTTTTTTTTTCAACACATAGTATAAGATGGCGGATGGCCTTTTTTATTATGTCCGCCAAGTGTTTGATGTAATGCCTTATGTATGAATGCTCTTTAGTTGTTGTAGTTGAGTGAAAAAAACTAGAATATTTCAGCAACAATGTTGTTATGTATTCAGTGAAGCAACTATGTGTGACATAACAGGTTTAACTTGGAATTTTGGGTGACTTGACCTCAAAAGGCAAAATTTGCCTTTAAACATTCAATTTAAAGATAAGCAGAAACTATTCTATGATATAAATTTTATATGTTTAGATTTTCATTCTTGATTCTCACCCAAATAATAATGATCTGCTAACGCTCATTAAAATTGAACCTGATGAATATTGTTTCTGATAATCTTAACAATTTTATTATTATAATATTGTTTCCAACACAACATCATTATAATAAAATATGAGGAATAGAATTAAGATCAAAAGACAATGAACTTTCAAATAAGGAATTCTAAGCATGACCCAGAAGATGCTTCAATAATTAAAGTGCAAAGTTTGGATAGTAGTAACATAAGAGTTTCAAGTTCATTAACACTACTCATTTATAACAGTAGGAAGGATCAAATACTTCATAACTATATTGGAATTGATCAGGTACTTCAATTTTGTCATGTCTTTTTTTATAGTTGCAGCATATTAACGTTAGGAATTGATCATGTACTTCAATGTAGGGGCATAATTGTCATTTACAAATTACATATCTTAATAGGAGGATCTGCTTTTTTTATTAAAAAAATGTCTTCATTTATTTGGTGATATAAACTTTATATGTTTTAGTAGAATTATATGAACCGAATGTTTAGTTGTTAATAAATGTAATGACTTTTATACCTGAATATAAATTATTGTTCTTCTAATCCATACTCAATAGAATAAAACTATGTAATGTAAAAAAAAATTTCTTTTTCTAATTCTTATGCAATTCGACATATGTGTGACTATGTATTGTAAATAAAAAAAAATCTGTTTCTAATTCTTATGCAATTCGACATATGTTTGACTATGTATTGTAAAAAATTTGTAATGTATATGACTGTTTTGCCCCTGGTCAGATAACTAATTTTAACTTTAACAATGTAAAAATTCATGGAGGTTAATACCTACATTTTATTTCCTATTTGAAATAGATTTAAGATTTTTAGTCGTTATTACTAAAGTAATGGCTTCATAACTTTTGATACAACAACACTAAAACAAGTTATGTAGTCGTTATAATTTCGAGAGTGTCGTTCATGAAATGAAGAAAACGCATATCTGAGTGAATTCTATCATTGAACAATCCGATCGGAATCACTGATTCCCATATTGAAGTCCGGTTGCTTGGGATTAATGTTATTGTTGGTAAACAAGGGGAATCGTGTGATTCTGTTTGCAAATCAGTTGGGAAATCTTGTGTTGGGAGTAAATTCATGCTTATTAATCAATGTGAAATTATGCAAAAGTATATGAAATGTAGATGATCATGTCTTGCAAGTATATGAGTTGATCAACCTGCTGAAGTGGTTGAAGTTGCCCCCAGATATCTGAATCCTAGTGTGTGTTTATAATTTATACGCGAAAAGACCTTCATTGCTTTCTTGTGATGGATCTCATCAGCATACAATGAGACTTTGCCCCTGTGCTTAATGTAAAGATGTTTATTCAGGTCCGTTCAGTTAGGGATATGGTGAAAAAGGAATTTGTTCCATGTATTAAATATAAGTGCAGAAAAATATAAAAGGGTATTTCGGTCTCTTTTTAGGAATTTGAATGGTATGAAAAATGGTAGCAATGAAGGTTTAAAAGGACATAATGGTCATTTACTGTGATGAACAATGTATTTTTGATTTTTTTATTGTAGTATTTCACACTTGCAATAAACTTAATTAATAGTAACACAAACCCAAAGATTAGAATATACTTCATAAAGAAACAGATAATCATATTTACAAAAGCAAACAAAGACTGTTCATGCATGACACGAGGGAACAAGAAGAATCGACCACCTGTCGATCCTTAAAGAAACACACATGCTAAAAAAGGTTTCTTCATGGCTGGTATTGATCACTTAAAAAGTTTTGATTTTTATTTATATTGTCAGTGTTGACGACCAAACTGCAAGAACTATAATCACGATCAGAAGCACAATTCCAAGAATCACCAAAACCAACCAAGTCTGCATGAAAGAATGAAAATTAATTAGCTTTGTAACAACATGAAAAAATTAAGTAATAACATAATATAATTTTACCATGGAAGAGTTTGAACTGTGAGTTTTTTATGCTTTTGCAAGGTGTGATTTTGCCTGTTCAGCGGTAAGATGAGAATTCTCAATGTTGTACCCAATATCATCTGAAAAATAATCATTGACGTGTTATATACCAAAAATGTATGAAAAGATGAAAATTTAACAAGTAAAATGAGAAAGCTTACTTACCAAATAATAGCTCCTTGCTCTTGAACCAAAATAACATCTTTGAAAATTTCATTTACTTCCCCAGTTCGTACATGGATCTATTGTATTCCCTAATCTCTTTCCAAAATGATTGCTTCATTAAATAAATGCAACTTTATATTAAAAAAATTTTTATCAAATTATTTTTGTTTTTTTTAAACATAAAATAAAAGGTTTTTTTTTTCTTTAAGTCTTTTTTTTTTGTCTTTTTCATGCAACTGTAATTTTGAACAGGGGAAATCTGGGAACGGGCATTTTGGTCCTTTATTATCAAATTCTTTCTGATTTTTTTAATAGAAAATAAAAGTTTTTTTTTTGTCTTTTTTTTTTGTCTTTTTTCCCATAAACAATTGACAAAGTAATCAATCAACTATATGCTTGAGGGAAAGTATAAGGAGAAGCATTTATAGGCTGCAGATACCAATTATATATACATACAAACTAAAGTGGCTTTTAGGTTTAACAGGAACTGAACTACAATTATCATTAACTAATGGAT